TTTTTTCCTGTCCACTCAGACAGCCTTTGAAACTTGGGCAGGAGACTGACTTGCTGAGCATAAAAAGTGACTGTGCATCAGCTAAACCTTGAGTACTCACTAGCTGGTTCCGTGTTCTGAGCCTAGACTCTAGCTGCAACACAAGGCAGTTTAGGCTTAATTCACTACACGTGACTGTTAAGCTGAGTTATGTTAGCTGATATTGTGCGATCTAGGAAGGCACACAAGGCCAGTGCTGCAACCCATCTGAGAGCAATACTTGGTTATCAGGTGTAGTGTGATTGCGTGCCTGAGACTTTTGGAAGGTCTGAGCAATAGCAATTAATCTGCATGTGATATCGGGTTAGCTGTGGCCTTGAAATCACCATAGTTACAACTATTTATTCATGTCACTGATATATCAGGACAACTCCGTTTGCCCCAGCTAACCTCATATTATAGAGTCCTAGAGATGGTGAGGTCCTCTTGCTACCTTTGCCTCCTTAGCAAGCTGCTGGGTCACTTTGCAGATGTTAAGAATTCATATACTGTTCAAATACTTTCAAATTTCCTTAAATGAATGCCTGGAAGATATTACCAGCTGTATTGTCCAAGAGTTTTGCAAAAAAAATTTTTCAGCCAGACTTCATGATTATTGTTTTTTGTATACGAAAACACAAGATGCTTTGTCAGTCTGACTACATCATGGCCATCCTATGCCAGGTAATGCCTGACTACTCTGCTTCAGATCACAGAGGTTGAGTACATACTGTTTGCTGTTGTGTTACTTATATTATAACATTGTTCAGGAGAGCAAAGCTTTCCCAGACGGGTGTTTTTAGAAACATTGAGATTTTCTGTAACCTCTCCTTCCTAAGAGATCTTTAATGACCCCACCAGTAAATTGCCAGCACAGTGAATCATGTGTCAATTTAGATGTTATTCTTGCCACTTTAAAGAATTCCACACAATACTTTTGTTTCTTCTGAACTGAAGGAGGCAATTATAGAGACATTATGGCTCTCTCCAGTCATTGCACATTGTTATATCCAAGCTGAAGAATGTGAGGTTTACTGGCATTGACTTTCTAAACTGGTGGCTGGGTTTGATTCATTAGTTGCATGCTTTATGCTTGTGCTCCACCCCCTGTAGTTTGTATATGATTTGTCCTCGAACTAGTGATGATGTGCATTGTGAAACTATCCCCTACAGTAGAAGCAGCGTATTCTTTGAATGTCCTTCAAGTTGTACTTTCCACTTGACCCCTAGGCATGGCAGTTGGATGGATTTTGTGATCCTCCCAAACTCTCAAGCATCTTCAGTGGGTCTTCATTCAAATGGTAATTTTAGTGCATACTTCAGGCTCATCTCAGCTTTAGATAAAAATTAAATGTGGATTGCTTTATTCTGCATATTGAATGCTAAAGGACACATTCATTTGTCCTCTCTGCAGACACGATGCTCTGCCAATTTCCTTAATCCAGACACAGAAGCAGTCAGCAATTGTTTCCTTTCACTTTTGATTCCATCTATAAAAGCAAATACCTGCAATCACTAGCGCCTTTTCAGAAAGGGGTTTTTGCAGAATTTGTACAAGTTTTACAAACTTTTTGTCTGCTGGTTTAATGGGTGCTGTCTGACTGCACATCAGGGTGTCGGTTTTAGCTCCCATTGTGCTGCCACATTTTTTTCATCACAGAGATCATCTGTTATTTTAGGTTTTCCCCATCCCTCAATGGCCCTCTACTGACCCACTACAGAAGTCCACTCTTCCCCAAATATTTTAAACTTTTCTTCGTAAGCCTGGTATTGCTTATGTTTTATATCATATCAATTTTCTGACTTTCATAAGTAGTCATTCCCTATTCTATCTTATTCTCAACTAGTATCCCATCCTCATCTCCCATTTTTGCATGTCTTCTATCTATATGTGTTAATAACATTTGGATCTCCAGTAACACTGCTTAGTTATCTACTGCTTAGTTATCTACAGAAAGATGGAAGTACTACCATTTATCAAGATGAAGAAAGGCAGGGAACTTTGTTAGAGGGCTCACAGCCTGTTTAAAGGGATATTACCAACTCTGGGGTTTTACAAAGCCTCTTCTAGAAACAATTGCTGTGTCTACACTGTGTATTAAGGAAGGTGCAGAGACGGTGCTCTGCAATTCATGTAGCAAAGCTTTAAACACAATTCAGGCAAAGTCAGGGCACACAGCAGCTCTAATCCCAGCTGGTGCGCTCATGCCTCTCCCAGTACACTCTTCCCAACAGCTCCCGACCAAGGGCAGGACACAGAGAGGCACAATGCCCTGTGCTCACAGCTGATGCAGGTTTTTCACTGCCATGCAGGCTGAGCCAGCACCTGTGGCTCTGATCCATGAATCTCCTGCCCTTCTTTGCCACTTGTGCCCTGCCACGTGCAGCTTTGTGCTTGTTACGGGAATAATTGCAAGGCTGAGGCACAGCCAGATGGATAAATCCTAAATGCACGTACGTAAGAGCTCGGCCGCAAATAACGCTGTTATTACCTGGCTCAAGAAAACATCTGCTCATCCTAAGTGCTACCCCACTCCTTGACAGTGTGGTATATCTGGGAGCATGGCAGGGGGACTAATGCAGAAAGTCATTCACTCTAACAGTGCATTCAAATTATGGGATGTGAAAAATGACCTTCCTGAATTTGGACTCAGAATTTCACAGAAGTTTCTGTATTTAGCCAGTTTGCCCTGAGCTAATCTGAGGCAATCAAGTCAAGTGACACACTGACACAACTCATATTCCTCTTTAATTTCTAGTCCAAACTCTACCTTTCATTACTTCCTTTTTTTTTTTTTTTTGTTCTAATTTTTTAAACACGTAGCTGCAAGAAGAAAGATTTACTCAGAGCATGCCTAGAAACCAGGCAGCTACCAGTTTCACTTCCTTCGTGGTTCTGTGCAACTCTCAGTGACGAGCAGTGAGAAGCAGGAGTGGTGAAACACTCAGCATTTCAGGAGATTTCTTGCTCCAAGTCTTTAAGTTATACCCATGGTCCTTTCTCCTGAATGCCTGGCCTCCTGAAGATGCCCAGGAGAGGGGTTTTTCCCCTGTGGACACTCGTGGTGCTGCTGGGACTGATATTTGTTCCATCACAGCTGGCAGGCTGCCTCCTTGATCCCTGTTTGGAGGTATGTGATCTCTAAAAGAGTACAAAATCCTTCTGTTTCACTGCAGTAACTTTTCCGTCTGCTTGGGAGATTTGTGCATCAGATCTGTAGGGTTAGTCGTCTTATGAAAGCTCATGTTTTTACCAAGGATGTTACCAAGGCAATTGATATTTGAAGTGAATGTTGGTCTCAAAAACATCTGAGAACCAGAACCAGTAGCATGAACCATTTCTTCTTGTTGGCTTTCTGTACCTCTGAAGTTACTACAGTACAGCTAAGCTAGTGGATTATGTTGCCCTTCAGGAAGAAATCAAAAACGTATCTATTATTTCTGCAAAGTACAGTATTTTAGCCTGATCTGTACTGCAGAGCGGTTTCACCAGTACCCCAAGAACTTGGCAGTGATCAACAGCCTTTTGCAAACTTTTGCAGATACCCATTACTTACAGAACAATTTCTGTTAGAACTATCCTCTTGTCTGCGATGTAATAAAGCTGAGAGCTGATCTGGGACACGCCAGGCATCCTGTGTGTTTGTTTTTCTGGCTCTCTTGAAGGTTGCTGTCAGTTCATCCATAGCCTCGAGGAACATAGTCCTGTGGTTTTGCACCTGCCTCAATCAGCAAGAACTGTAGCTTTTCCTGGGGAATAAGACTGGTACTATTAAAGTAGGGGAGATGCTTAGGATACCTGAAATTATTTCCTGAAGCTCAAGGGCAGCTTATTTAGAAAAGAACTACAAGGTTACTCATTCTGTTCCCTGCTTTCCTGACCAATTTCCTGACCGTTTGTAAAGTGCAGGTATTGATTGTGATCAGATCTGTCACTGTTACAGGTCATACCTAATATAACTTTCAGATGCACGGGACTGAATATCTCTGGAATTCCCACTCAAGTCCCAAATACCACTCAGAACCTGGATCTCAGTTTCAGCCACCTGAAATCACTGAGCTCAAACTATTTTTTGTCAGTCCCTGAACTTCAGCTTCTGGATCTTACAAGGTAAGGGGCCCTTTCGCATCGATACAGGTTAATCTTGTTTCACCAGTTGGGCCTTAGGGGTTGCTTATCCTGGGTTTTTGCTGCTCTTTGCTGTTCATTCTCTTGCTATTGACTTCGCCTCTGTGTGTCTCTCTCTGCACAGGCCCATGGCCAAGTGATGTGCAGCTTTTAGTCCAGGTATTGGGTGCAGGCATTCTGCTCAGAGCTTGGCCTATCAGCCTGCCCCTGTGGGATGGGGTGGAAGAAGGAGGAGGAGGATCTTTTACTTCTCTCCAAACAAGAAAAATGTCAGACTTTTCACTGTTACAAAAATTCTGAAATGGAACATTTTAGGTGGGCTGTTCTTCTTTTCTCAGTTAAAAAAAAAAAAAGAACAAACAAAACAACAAACCTAGGTATATTCATTTTCTAAAAGGTTGTTTTAAAATATCAACATTTTCTTTTTGTCTTCTCTTCCCATATCTGGGGGAGGAGACGAGGGAAGCTTATTAGCAAATTTGAATAGATGTATAATTAACTTGAGACAAGATTTTCTCTGGGTAAACCACTTCACTGAAAAATGTCACTCAGCCCCATCACAGTTACAGCTGTGAAGTGGCTGAGTGGCAGAACAGGTTTACTGTAAGGCACTGGCTGGGCTGTAAAGCTAATTTTGCTTGCATTCATTCCAGAATACATTTGGCTCTTAAAATTTGGCTTTTCCCGTATAAAATAATCTTTAGGTGGCCCCCTTTGTTTTTTTCCTCCTCCTGTTCTCCTTTACAGCCAACATGGCCTGAGGACTGTCCCTGCTTAGATATCAACAGTAAAACTGTAGAATGAGTTGTGAGCTTTGCCACTGCCGCAGCACACTGGTGCCAGGGTGATGGCCTAGATGTGGCTGAAGTGACAGTCTAAAGGCTGCAAGTATGCAAGGTGTAAGGGAATGGTGTATTTGGTTGGCTCTGCCACCAATGATAGGCATCACAGTATGACTTTCACCTATTTTCACTTCTGTCCTGCTGCCTATGTGCATCTTGACCTTCACCATGGCTCAAGATTTCTTGCTTTGCAATTGAACTCCAGATTTAGGGAGGGAGGAGGAGGTGAGAGGAGGTTTCCTGATATGCAAGGATACCTTTTTTTTGGCTGGTTAATTCTGCCTTCTCCTGGGAAATCACAATGTTCACCTGTAGATTCAGTCTTGCGAGGGAGGTGCTGGGTTCAGGAGGACTGGCTCTGCTCTGCCCAGAGCACTGGAACCAGATGTACCTCCACAGTGAGGTGGATTCTGAGAGCACTGCTTTAGTGCTTAGAGCAATAGTGTCTGTGAATATATATTGAAAAGGAGAATGTTTCATGCACATTTATTCTCTTTTCCTGCCCAACAGATGCCACATCCATACAATTGAAAATAATTCTTTTAAGGATCTTTATAACCTTTCCACCTTAATTCTAACTGCCAATTACTTCAACTACCTGGGGCCAGCAGCTTTCTATGGCTTAACATCTCTGCAAAGACTTGTATTGGTGGAAAACAACATATCTTCTCTGACTGACCTGCCCATTGGACACTTGCATACCCTGCAGGAGCTGAATATGGGCCACAATAACATTGCTTCATTGAAGCTTCCCAAATATTTTGCCAATCTGACCTCTCTCAGGCACCTGAGCTTGCTCTCCAACAAGATCACGTATATATCCAGAGGAGACCTTGATGCCCTGAGGGAAGCAAACAGGTTCAACCTCACACTGGTACTTTCTTTGAATGATATAAAATACATCCAGCCAGGGTCCTTTGCAAATCTTCACCTTGGTGAGCTGGCTTTAAGGTCCTCTTTTGAGAACTTCAATGTGATGCATACTTCCCTTCAAGGTCTGACTGGTTTACATGTCAACAGATTAATAGTTGGAGAATTCAGTGACATTCAGAGACTGAGGAACTTTCAGAGTGGACTCTTGAGTGGACTGTGCCAGGTACAGATGCAGGAGTTCATCTTGATCTGTTTTAGGGATTTTGAGAATAACACAGACACTCTTTTTGACTGCATAGGCAATGTCTCCAGTATTCGGTTGGTGGACCTCCAACTAGATGATGTGTCAAAGGTTCCTATGTTCTCCCAAGTGAAGCACCTGGAATGCAAGAAATGCAAGTTTAAGGAAGTGCCTGCCATGAAGCTGTCTCTTTTTAAGGAGCTTAGAGTGCTTCGTATTACCAAGAGCAAATACCTCAATAGCTTCCGGCAGAAGTTTGAGCATCTAACTAACCTGGAAGTAATGGATTTGAGTGAGAATCGGCTCTCCTTCACCAAATGCTGTTCTCCTCTTTTTCTTGGGTCTCCACATTTGAAATATTTGAACCTAAGCTTCAATTCTGACATCAGCGTCACTGGAGACTTTACTAATATGAGGAATTTGTTAACCTTGGACTTTCAGCACACAAAGTTAATTGGTCCTGGCTCCTACCCTGTCTTTCTCTCCCTTCAGAAACTCATTTACCTTGATATTTCCTATACCAGAACTCATGTTAAATCCCAGTGCACATTTTGTGGCTTGCACTCCTTGCAAGTGCTTAAGATGGCAGGCAACTCCTTTGAGAACAACAAACTGGCCAACAACTTAAAAAACCTAACTCACCTCCACACCTTGGATATTTCAAGTTGCAAATTGGTACAGGTGGATCAGAGTACATTTGCCGCTCTCTCTGAACTAAAAGAGCTAAACATCAGCAACAATAAGCTGCTGAGCTTTGATCCTTTAGTCTACAAGCCTCTCCAAGCCCTCGCAGTCCTGGATTTCAGCCACAACCAGCTGACTGTCCTGTTGGACTCGGCCCTGGAAAGCTTGCCTGATAGTCTGGTCTTGTTAGACCTCTCTCACAACCTGTTCGATTGCTCTTGCACATACCTGAACTTTCTGAAATGGGTCAAGGAAAATCAGGAGATACTTCAGAATAAGGAGCTGATGATGTGCCACGTCCCCGCATATGTAAAGAACGTGAGTCTATCTAGCTTCGATCTGTCCTCCTGCCAGCTCAAAACAAGCACAGTGGCATTCTCAGTGAGTATGTCACTCGCTGCAGCTGTGTCCCTATTTCTAATTTACAAGTACTACTTCCAGCTATACTACTCATTGGTGCTGCTCAGTGGGTGTAAGCACTCTGCTGAAAGGGGGGACACCTATGATGCATTTGTTATCCACTCCAGCAAAGACCAAGAATGGGTGATAAAAGAGCTGGTGGAGCCCTTAGAAGGAGGAAAACCTCCCTTCCAGCTTTGTCTTTACTACAGGGATTTCTTACCAGGGGTACCCATTGTCACTAATATCATCCAAGAAGGTTTCTTGAGCAGCAGAAATGTCATTGCAGTCATTTCTACTGACTTTCTGGAGAGCAAGTGGTGTAGCTTTGAGTTTGACATCGCCCAGTCCTGGCAGCTTGTTGAAGGGAAGGCTGGAATCATCATGATTGTACTGGAAGACGTGGATAAGGCCTTGCTGAGGCAGAGGCTGGGGCTGTCCCGATACCTGAGGAGGAATACCTATCTAGAGTGGAAAAACAATGAAATAAGCAGGCATATCTTCTGGAGGCAGCTGACAGGAGCCTTACTAGAAGGCAAAAGAAGGAATCACGAGGAGGTAAAGCTCATGTAAAGACAAGGTGACATCACTTTTGTCCTGTCTCCTACTCCTCCCAGCCATCCTGGTCTTGGCTGATGGCTGGTGCTCAGAAGGTTCTTCGGAGGTTGTTCAGAGTTGAAGGTGGAGGAAGTGGATGAAGGCACTGTAAAAGCATTACAGAAACATCTGCCTTGCTGTTTGCCCTTCCTCAGAGGAATTTGCAAGCTGAGGAATCTCTACAGCTAGAAGAGCTGCACAGGTGGAAGCCAGCCTGAGCTCCATATTTGTGTGCAGCTGCCTCAATGGAAGCCGGTCCATGCAGATGTGGTGGATCAGTGAATAGATGTGAAAATGGATGGACTGGTCTCTTAGTGTCAGTTATCTGCCTCTGAAACTTGGGTTGGATCCTGGGACCAGTTACTCAGTGGAGCTTGATATGCTGCTTTGGGGCTTGGATCTCCAAAGTGGAGCTTGATGCGTTGCTTTAAGTGGGCCCCAGGATCCCCTGGGGGAAGAGAAGGTATAGGATTCTTGGCTCTAAAAATGGTAGGAATTAGAAACAGGATTTGAATCCTGAAAGTCTTTGGCCAGTATCCTCAGGAGTTGTGACTCAGGGGGAAAACCCTGCAGAGGGAAATGGGTTGTCCTACAGCCACAGGCCATCTGGCAACTGCTCAGTGAAGCTGAGCAGTTATGTCATCAGTGTGTGAGGAGGTTGTGGTTGGTGGGAAATTTCCCCAAAATGTTTATTATTTTGGTTTGATTTAGACAAAGAGCAAATATTGAAACCTCCAAACATTTCCATGACCAGGAACTTTTACTTATATTCAGATCATGTAGTATATGCCTTATATGAGCAAGGTTGAATGTAGGCAGGGCATTTTGACATTTATAGCCGGCTAGTTCTAGAATAAGGTTTTTCACTGTGTGGGCCAGCCTGAATGTATGGGTCAGCTCGCTGTAGGAAGGTGCTTATAGGAGCATCCAGCCCATGCGATGAAATAGGCTTCATATGGATTAGACCTAGCAATGAAGCTCAGAGCCTGTCTTCCCTTGCCTATCACCCTGTGTCAGCCTCTGGTCCTGGTGGACGTCCGAATATACGCAGTCAGCATTTCTCAGGGTCCAGTTGTTACATTAAATAGGTCAGTTTGTGGGCAGGAAAGTTTTGCCTTTGTTTGACCAAGAATGTGTTCAACATTTTACAGGAAGGAGAGAAAGAGGAGAACAGTTTGCATTAGCTAAAGTAAGTGTATCCCAGCACTGCCCTGAATGAAGATGGAGAAAGTCTAAATGGCATTAGACTATGTTACAGAGAACTCCAACGATATCTCCAATACTGAATACTACTGGAGTATTGCTCTGTATTTGCAGAAGGCTTTGGTTGGGATTAATCACTGAACTAGTCTAGTTTTAAACTTGCAAGTCCTTCTGTAATAAATGACATTCTACAGATGTAAAACAGAAGCAATTGAGTGGTGAATCAGATCTCATATTTATTCAGAAGAAAGGGCCTGACCCATATCATTCCTCTAAGCACCAGTCAGCAACATCCCCATGGAAGCCAATGCTAAGCAAGATCAACATTAGATATGATTTGCAAAAGAAGGAGAACTAGTTTCAGGGCTTGGGCTGGCAAAAGCTGAATCACAATTTCCTCCCTACATGCTGTGTCAGTAGTATACGAGGATAGAACTACCAAAAACCCTACAACCCTCTCTAAGGTCTTTCATTTCAAGAGAAGTCTCTGTAACAAAGCTTTAGTAAAACTAAGCTCGACGCTGCATTTGCTTGTCCGGGCAGTTTGCTCTGTATTGGCCAAGCACTGTTGCAGTAATTTCCAAAGTGCTGTGTTTCTTGCCTCTGCCATGATTGACAGTCCTTAAGCACTGCATCTCGCCAAGACAACTTGCCTCCTCACTCAGAGGTAGAGGCTACGGGGAGCCAGGGGAGCAGTCGCTGCGCTAGGAGGAGACGGAGGTGCAGTAAACAAGGGCACAGCTCAAGGTTCCTCAGATTGAGGCTAAAGGAGAGCACAGAGGACAAAGCAAATATTAGCCTGGATTTCAGCAGCTGAAAGTTAAATTGGAAAATGAAAGAGGAAAAATTAAATGGAGTGGGAGTTACTGCTCCTGAATTTAACAGCAGTTAAGTGGCATTTCTCTCTCACTCTTTCTTTTTGTGGTTCCTCTACAAACAGTTCAGTATATAAGTATTTCTGGCACAAATCACAGCATCCTATAATTCTTGATTATAGTAATGGGCTTCAGAAAGCCTGAAAGTTGCTCTAGGCATTAAAATAAGGGTTTGGGATAGTATTATTTAAAAAGTGAGTGTTTGTTGAATATCAAAGCAACTTTAGGAAGAGAACTGGGGTGATGCTTAGAGGAGGTTGCCACCTTTACCATTTAAACAGAAACCAGTCACTTGCTATCCTCTTCCTCTTCAAATACAGTTAGTCTCCCCTGCAGAAACAGATGTGTGAGTTGCCCCAGGCTTTCTTACTGCCAGAAAGCAAGCAGAAAAGCTCTCACAGCTTCTTGAAGAGGTGAGAGGGGAGAGATGGTCTGGTAAGACAGGTTGGAGGCTGGGGACTTCAGAGAACACTAGGACAGCACAGGTTCATCCTCTGCAAGCCCCATAGTCGCTGTCATTTCTGGTTCCCTAGATGGCTGCATTTATAGATTTCACCTCCATCTCACTTGGCTTCAGTAATAGTTTGCGCTTTGAACGCACAAGCTAATTTTTCTTATTGCCAAGACCTTAGGCAAAAGAATCAGGCATTTTAGCCACTGCCTTACTGTCTGAAGCAATACTGGTCAGAGGGAGGAGCGAATTTGCTGCGAGACATAGTGAGCTTCAGGGAGACAGTCTGGCTGGTGACATGAACAACCCCGAAGGGCCCCAGGCAGCAGGCCCTGTGATGTACTGTAAATGCCCTTTTGTGCAGCAGCAGGAACTCCTGTCTGCACACCCCAGGGAGTCACTAGCCTGATGTGGCAGTGCCCGAGCTACCACCAAAAATGCTTTGTGGTTTATGAGTCTAGGAGGGAAAAGGTTGTGTGACTGATTGGTTGTATTCTCATTCTTTCTCTATCAGAGAAAAGGTAGATGTGTTTTTGGAAGATTCAAAACAACTTCCTTTCCCCTTTACAGTGGCAAATTGCCCACTCAAACCCAAACAGTATTAGGTCAAAGAAAAATATTGTGACTCATATTTATATATTTGTCCTTGTTATAGGAAGCAAATTTTGAAAGGAAAACTCGGAGCATTCTCATTTCTTGTAACAGGTTGGCATGCATTTTTAGTTGGAATGTGTTCTCTGTGCAGCAGGTAGTTTCCATATTATTTACTCATTTGGGTGAATAAATGGGCAGCCAACCGAATATCCATGCAGGTCTGCATTCATCTCTCATAAATAAATGAGCATTTTCCAGTTATGAAAATGTCTATGCTGCCCAGGTCATATAAACAGATGGAGATGAAGCTCCAAATGGCATTGAAGATGTTTAACCTTGTTCATAACTGGGATATGCCCTGATTTCACCTATGTGCAGTCGTCTTTGCACCAGCGCTTTTCCCCTTTTCCACTCCTGTACACTTTTCCCAGTGTCCAGATGAAGCAAGAAGTCTGTTTGTGGAAAGTGTCCCAGTTTTATCCCTCTGGGTCCTCTGCTGACTTGTTCCAGAGGTTTCTGACCAAAGTGGGGGCTGATTTCTCGGAGGAAGGACATCGTGGTGTGCCAGCATCATCGCAAAGACGTGCTCTGCAATGAGGGCTCCAAACTGAGCAAGGCTCTCGTTAGCATGATTGCATTTGTGCTCTCCACACTGTAGCCGAGATATTATCTAACAACAGAAAGCAACAGCCATTTGCATTTATGACTGCCTGGATCTGGCTAGCTACAGGAATGGTACAGCGCGAATGGTCCTTTGGCTTCCCAAGTATTAGCACAGACTTTTAATGTCAGTTAAAAAAACAACAAAACAAGAAAAAGTAGCTATTTTTTCTGGAGTGACTGATTTTTGACAGGA